CCTCCGAAAAATTGCTCAAAAGCGAACAGTGGATAGAACAAAATGCCGGTAGACAACTTGACACAAACGGACGAAACACCAAAATGTTCTGAAACGCAAAGGGGCCACCCCTATATCTGGATTTCGACGAAACACCTCGTCTCCCTGGCCACACTCCAAACCCACGGATCAACATCGGCCGTCCACACCACAGTCGTGGACCCGTATCACCTCGAGGTCGCCGGATTTTTCATTCCCCAGGTCGGTTGCAGTTGGCATCAGCAACTTTCCCGCTTGGTACTTGGCAATTAGATGCTGAAGAGGAACGCTCTCCGCAGGGAAGGCAGGGATAACACGACGAAGGAAGCCGCAACAGTGGACCCAACGAAAGTTCAGGCTTTCTCCAGAGGGTATTTTCATCGGTCTGTAACGGACAGTTTCCCCGGTCTTCGACATCTCTGCCCACCGATCCCCTCTGTTTGAGTTCTGTTATCTGGCAACAGTGCAAATATGTAGTCACGATCGCCATAGACTGAGATGACTCAAGGGATAATGATTTCTCTTTGATATCTATACTCCGAACAGCAACTCCTGATACGAAATTGAGATCTCAGGTCATAGGAATTATTTTTTAATCGTTCAAACGAGCGACCAGTCTCCGCCATTAAATGTACAATTCAATGTTTTAGCGGGGAGACATTTTTTGGGGGCAGACTTCCGTATTCATCGAATCAGTGATTATTGAAACGATTATGCAGACCGTTCCGCGAAATTGTGACTAAATATGCGACGAATGGAAAAACGTTAAGCCGTCGGAAATTCAGTTGATCCTGAATCAGTCCGGATTTCACGATCGATGAGCATCGGGGAACAAACGACTCGAAAATAAATCCCGCCGGCGGTGGAACGTGATCAAGCATCGCAGCAACCCGGAAAGTATTAACGCGACAAATAACAGGCCGCAACGCGGCGGAAAACCGAGTCGTTGAACGTTTTAAATAATCTCAAATCGGCCGGGCGACACGAAAACCCGCCCGGAAACGCGTTTTTACGGGCTCGGAACGAGTCGCTGGACGCGTTGGTCCGGCAGCCTGGGCAAATGTGTTTCCAAAATGTTCATACAGGGTGACGTGGAATTACGAGTACCCTGTGTAAACGATTCATAGATTTTAACGTAGTTCCTTAATATTTATTTTATAGGTTTATATACTATTAAATGGACAACTGTCTCTATGTTAATAAATAATATACCGTGTCAAATTAGATACAGTTAATAGTTTTAGGAGTTTGTTTTTGTACTTGTGCAATTTCACGATCAAACATGGATTTTAAAAAAGATTTTTCCCGCGGCGAAAAACAAACAAAAAACAAATTACGTTCGCACCTGAGTCACGCTGTACAGATGGGAGGCTCGTTATCGATGTCACCAGACACAGCCAGCGAATCCCTGGCTTTTTTCGACAATTTAATTGCCGTCCGTGTAACGCGGGAGTGAACAAAATTCAACGGATAAAAAGAATAGGGAAAGATAAAAATGTGACAGCTTTGCGCGTCGAATGAATAAAAAACGGGCCGATATTAATGCTTTTCGTTAACCGAGTTCTGCGAAGCGTACGATTTAAATTACCCTGTTATTGTCCGTTTTGTTTAAATTGTAAATTGTGATGTAAACAGATAGTGGAACAATTGTTTCACGGTGATTTGGAGCGATACTTCGATCAACATTTGTAACAATTTTAACATTTTAATACATGGAAAATAAGGTATTATATATTCTGAATTATATCTCTGTATTGGTTTACCAGAAAATCGTATTTGGTGCATTAAATTTCCGAAAAAATTGAACAAAGGGTGATGATTTTTGATACATTTTCAATTTATCGAAAAATCGTGAAATTTGGTAAGACTTCTCTGCACAAAGCACCGACGCTATTGAATATTTCGAAAAATGGTTATTGAATATTCTGTTCGTTAAAAATTCGTCCGTCAAAAAACCAGCAAAATTTTACACGTTCTAAACTAATATCGGGAAAATTCCGTAACAACGTTGCCAGTTTTTTTCTTTGTTCGATTGTCAAAGAGAGACAACAAAAGAAACCACTTTCGCAAAATTAAATTCTCATTTCAATGCCATTCAACACTCACCGCAAACGCATGGCCCCGCCCCCAGACTTCGCTGTCGTTTAACTCCCCGAAAATCGTTCCCGCTGCTTTCAAAGAGAAACAAAAGCAACACGGGAAACAAAACAAATAAACACAAACAAGAAAAAAAAAGAAAAAAAATTTCGCTAGAGTACAATAGCGTTCGATTTTATTGGCCCTCTCTCCCCCCGATACGTGTTACGTTCGCCGAACCACGCTCGCGGGGAATTCCGCGCGTTTTTTTCCACTTTCCGCCTATCATAGAGGGTGTCTGCTTTGTATAAGCAACGACACTTGTCCCAGAATCCAGAGGAAAACTCGGTTTTCGAAATGCGTACGATTTTTTCTCTCCGTTTTTTTCGGGTCTCATTTTTATCGGGAAAAATTTAAACAAACGACGATCGATACTACGCCATACTGTTCGGCTATGGAGCTTTCCTTCCGCCTCTATCCACGGCCAACCACAGAGTTTGGAATCCATTTTATTCCATCGGTATCGACGTTGTTTGCGCTCGTTTGACATTTCCAATTGAAATTTTGCAAGCTTCTTCTTTGGGTCGAAATAAATTACTGGAAATTTATTTAAACCCCAAACTTTTCTCCTATATTGCTATAAAATGGCTCCATGATCTTCAATTCTAAGGTTAAGAGGGGTGAATCTATCATAAGGAGAGAGGATGGTATTTTTTGGGGCTTTGAAATTTTGCAAACTTTTTCCTTGGGTCAAAATAAATTACTGACAATCTATTTAAACCCCAAACTCGCCTAAATTGCTATAAAATTGCACCTTAATCTTCAATTCCAAGATCAGGAGGAGTGAATCTATCATAAGGAGAGAGGATGGTATTTTTTGGGGCTTTGAAATTTTGCAAACTTTTTCCTTGGGTCAAAATAAATTACTGACAATCTATTTAAACCCCAAACTCGCCTAAATTGCTATAAAATTGCACCTTAATCTTCAATTCCAAGATCAGGAGGAGTGAATCTATCATAGGGAGAGGGGGTGGTATTTTTGGGACTTTAAAATTTTGCAAACTTTTTCCTTGGGTAAAAATAAATTACTGAGAATTTATTTAAACCCCAAACTCGCCTAAATTGCTATAAAATGGCTCCATGATCTTCGATTCGAAAGTCATGAGGGGTGAATTTAGCACAGAGGTGGGGAGGATGCCACGTCGGAAGAGCAAGGGAACTGCAAGTTTAAATTTGCACTTGGCACCTGATCTGCTGACGTTGCAGGGGAGCAGGAGCCAAGAGGTATGCTCGTAGGAGGGGGCATAATTCGCTCGATTATTTAATAGCTTGGCCTGGCGCCTAGCTACAACATTGAGCAGCCTGGTCCCGACATTCTCCAGTTGCGATCTATATTAAAGCCTTCCATGGCGAATTGCTCATTAGCGGATTAACGAGAAGCACGGTGCCAAACTTAATTAGAGTTTGCTGTGTGGCGTGGTGGATCGTAAATAACGAATAGCCACAATGACGCATCACGAATGAGAAGAAACAGATCGTCCTGATCGAAACCACGAATCATGGTATGGTCGTGGAGATTCCAGTCCTCTTGTCTCCCGGGTAATCACTGTATTAGACATCGTCCAGCGACGAGGATCTCTGGGTCAGAGGTCAGAGTATGATCCACGTTATAGCCTCGCAACGGTGATCCCGGGTACTTGGTTCACAGCTTCTAATGCGATCCGGGTGACCATATCAGGGATCACCAGGTGACGGGGAACGCTGTGTCGGAGATCAGCGTACGATCCACGTCATAGCCCATAACATCGGGCACTCTTATGGCGGTGGTCGTGACGCGATCCGAACGATTACATCAAACACCGCCAGGTGACGGAGATCGTTACGTCAGGGATCACGGTACGATCCACGTCATAGCCCCTGACACGGTCACCCTTGCAGGTCGTGACGTAATCCAGATCGCTATATCAGAAGTCGCCAGGTGATAGAGATCGCCGTGTCAGAGATCACCGCGTGAGATGCAGATCGCCGTTGCGATAAATCACGATATAATCCAGGTCAGGCTGCGACACCCAGTGATGTAATCCAGATTAACGTATCAGCGAGCATGATGTGTTCCAGATCGTGCTATAACTCATGTCGCGGACCCAATCATTACCCAATAAACACACGTTAGGCGACCGGTCCCCCATCTATCGCGCGAAAACAGAAAGGGGTGGCGGCGAAACTCGCAAAAACGTTACGACTCCGTTCTCGAGGACCGATTACGACTTTCTTCGCATGTGAACGTACCGTCAGGACGTAAACGTCGCTGTAACCGCTCATTATCGCGGTATCGGGACGCTAATAGAGTTACCCGGTTGCCACTCCGGCGCCCCGGGGCTGACGTGACGCTGGACGGAGGAACCCTATCGCGTTTCTCTTAGGCGAAATCGCGGAGTTCCGTATTGCGTGAAACGCGGAAGGGTCTGATGGCCGACCCCTCAGGATCCTGGCAAGGATTGCTGCTGATGCGGTATTTGCGCAGGTGTAAGAAACATCGAACCGCCGTTGTTTGGGGGTAGTTAGACGTTGCGTCGTTGGGTAGTTAGATAACTCGAGACGCCAAGGATGGGCTTGCATAACGCGATAGATGCCTGGAAAGGGAGTGGAAGATGGGTGGGGGCTAGAAGAATGTTTAGGAAGACTTTGAACAATTTTCTAGCGAAGTTCATGCGAGAAATTATGGGTGTTTATATGTAGAAGCTTGTTGCAATTGTTTCGAAAAATAATTCTAGGGACTTTAGTTTACCCTATTTTGTGAGCTTCTTCGTGCAAGAGATATTGTTTAATTTTCCATTTTCAATCTCCCGTTCGTTTATCTAACTTTTTATATGCATCAGATTGCTTGTTGCTTATCGAAGAATGTCTTTTACAGGTGGTAATGGCGACATCGAGGATCTGGATCCAGATGTTCAGGATTATAGCACCGACGAAGACTACAACGACGTCTTCGACGCTACCACCAACGGGTATGTTGAATAATTCTAATATTTTTGAGAATCTTATTCCTCATTCCAATAATCAATTCAAAATTATATCTCCATATTTATTCAGAGGGCAATTTCAGTAATCGAACTCTTGATACTTGTAAACAATGTATCCTGTATTTGTTAACAGTTTAGAAATTGATGGAAGATGTTGAAATATATTGCCAATCGTGTAATGTAAATAAAAGCCCCCGAAGCGTTAAGTAAAAAATCAGTTTCGTCGCGTAATCTTGAATTTCACTTCATTTCCTGGCCAGATCTTCCCATTTCCTAAATCTCGAGCACCCAGGAGGCTCAACAAAGCGCTCCGCGCGCAATAAGCCGAATCGAAGACGCGGTTCGATCGTCGGAATTTCGATTGGCCCTATCGACGCTTCCTCCTCGAATTAGCCTGCCAGAAGGAACGAGAGAATTCAAATTTAATCACGCCCAAAGCTTTCGCAGTGCCACGACGCACGGGAAGTGGAATTATTAGCTTTCGAATCGAACCAATCGAGTCGCTTCCTTATTAAGCCCTGCGGCATCCCTTGCCCGCTTTTCCATCATAGAGACCCATGAAATCCTTGCCCCCTTCACCTGCCACCCATCCATCATTCCCTCCCGTATTCTTCTCCCCTTTTTTAATCCCGCCTACATCTCCGATTGAAAATTTTATTCCTGTCTATTTTTAAAAATATTTATATTACGATCAGTCACAACCTCAAAAACCCAAATTCAATATTTATTTTGGGGGTCGTTCACACCCTCTTCCCCGTATTAATCTATAATAGGTTTCTAATAATTTTATTCTCTGAAAATTTAAAGTCCCTATCTCTTTTGATAAAACGAAGATCAGGAAGATATCCTGTCGTTGCATTTTCATCGTCTCGAACGACTAAGTATCGTTCACATGTGATCTTCTGGAGGTTTGGAGAGCCCTCCTGGCCAGAACACCACCTTAATGCCGCGATAATGCCCTAAACGCAATTGAAATTACGTGTCGTAACCGATCGCAGTAACGCATTATGGTCGCGATATCGTGCGTGTACGGGTCGACAACTTCCAGCCAGCTGCATTATTCCTGAACGCCACGTGGCTCCATTAATATTGATGCACCGACCGATTCCTGCAACCCCTTCTGCAGGGAATGTCGAGGGGGAGTTGACAGAGATGCTGGTAGACGTCCCAGCGACACGGGGTTTATCCCTCGAAGGATTGCGGAGGATCCATTCTTCCTGAACCCGAACGTTGTTTGAATAAAGTTAGTCCCTCACGGTTATTCGGATAATTAGTTATCTAACGAAACTTCGTTACCAGCGACTGTGCACGGGGAACAGAAGATTGCAAGCGAGATCCAGAAGACGTACAATGTACTAAAGTTGCAGAAACTAGTCGCTGCTTCCACGGACGAATATATCCGCCTCAAACAACGATAATTTAGTTTTTAAAAAACACCTGCACTGAAATCTATTTTCTTTATTTGATGAGAATCAGTGATCTATAGTAGTCACCTTATGTAAAAAGTGCAATTGCATTTTCTTTTGGATAGAAACATTAATTTTTTTATTGGGCCATTTAACGTATTTTTTAATTCTCTACAAAAAAGTATTGGGGTCATTTTGTCAGAAAACTGTTAGTTTCAGAGATATTTAAGTTTCAAGTTTGTCGTGATGGGGGAAAAAGTGGGGTCCCTAGAGCTACTCCGCGCGATCCGATTGGTCGAAGCTTCGACACTCTTTTGCGAGAGAACGGTTCGTTCACGACGAATAATTCCTTATGAACTTTTTATCCTCTCATCGAGTAGAATACGTTAAAACTGAAAGCTTCGATCAATTGTTCACCAAATATATTTTAACAAATTCTCTGATTAGACTCGACTCGTACTACCGCAGCATAGATAAATAAAAGAAACGATGGTAATTGAATCCCCTAGCTATCCTAGTACTCTTCCATATTCATTTATTAGACAAGACGCGACAAGTACGCGCACTCGCGGCTCGGAAACGAACCGTATCCGCGAAAAGCTGGCTTCTTAATGATCCGGACGCTACGAACGCCTCTTCAATCATTTGCATGGCGACTTCAAAACGTTGCTCCCGAGGCCGGGGGACAAAACCGATCCCTCGACCGAGGTTAAACGTTGCATTATTTATAGAAACCCCGCGAACGCCTAATCCCTGTCTGAGACGGTCTTCTGAGTGCTTAAAACTGCCAGCAAAGGAAGTGACGTAACGCGGTGGGCGCGTCGAACTGTTAACGATTCGTCGACCCTTTTCTTCGCGATGTTTTAACACCTCTTCCCGTGTAAGGGCGAACTTGTAAGCGTGCTTGCTCGGGTGTCGAACTTAATTCTGCGTGGGTAACGACTGGATCGTCGAGCGTTCGTGGGATTGGGTCTGACTCATGGCGGTTGTCTAACTGAGCTTGTCTATCGAGATTATTCACTCGACCAACAACCACGAAACAATTTTTTTCTCGCTTCTCACAGTCAAAATGGAAGATCGAAATGTTGGTTATTTTTTTTAACGATTTATATTTTTATTATTTTATTCGTTCTCCTTGAGTATCTTAAATAATATATTCGCCAAAATGTCAAATTTAAATGACGATTATCTGAGTATCGAAATTAATTTTTTTATTTATCGTTAAAGAAGACGTTCGAGAAGGTGGATCCCACGAATGTTTTCGTTTTCGAATGACGTACTGTCGTCGAGAATTCGAGAAGGCGTTGAATTTCTCCGGGAAAGCGCAACCGATAAAGCTTCTGATGAACGCGCGACGTGGCAGGCAAAAGCCGGAAAATTGATCCGCGCCGTTACATAATTTTCACGCGTTCCAGTCAGCGTTGCGCAACCGTTGTAAAGCGTGCTGAAATTTTAACTCGTTCCCGTCGTTTAATAAACGATATTTACGATCGCTGCCGGCAGTTCGCTCGAAACTTTCGACGCTGCTTCCCGCTACGAACCGTCGGGGAAAACGAAAACGGTTTCCTTCCTCCGTACACTATATTTTGTATGGTATTCTTATAGGATATAGCGAGTCCCGGTCGGGGTTTATTAAATTCGAATTGAAATCTATGCTATATACAGCGCGCCCCATTATTACCCTCGCACTCCATTTTCCGAGAAAAGCGTCGAAAATACTTTTCTCAAAGATCCTTCTTATTCGTTTTTTAAATTAGTATGAATATTTTTCGCTAGAAATATTTCGAATCTTACGAAATGAAAATCATTTTGACTTTCGTTTTCTTCACCGAAATTCATCACGAAAATTGCGTTTCCAAATTTTAATTAAACGCTTCGCGTTCTTGCATTTTTACATTTTAACCGAACCTTTTTTCGTTTTGTCGCTGCAAAAAGGCCGAGACCCTCGTCTGTGAAACAACTGATAAACGCCTCCTCAAAATGCATGGAGGAACTTTGCATGGTAAATACAGAGGAAACGCGAGCCCTTTTTTGGCCCCTTTTCCTTCCCCCCCTCCTCCCTTCATACGTGTTTTGTGGACGCTGTTAATTTCGTTCGTGTCGTTCGACGTCGAAAACCTCCGGGACGTCGTTGACGCATGCACTGGTGATTTCAATTTTGCGAAACTTCCCGAGCGGAACTTTTTATCCCCGGTAATTCGATAATCCCCTAATGGCGGTGTATAAAATCGACCGAGACGAAGGGGTCGGCTGATCGAAAAAAAATTACAAATCGCCTCGCGCGAGCCCACGGAGTTTCGATTTATAATTCATATTTACATGCAAAAGTAAATGTTCAGGGTACAGCGATGCCTAACCCTAAAATTACTAGTGGACGTGAATATTAATTATCTTCCATAGCCTACTCGAGATCTTTCCAAATAATCTCTCCAATTTGAAACAATGATTTATGCGATTTATTAAATATAAAATTATTTTTAAATATCCTATACTTTCCATCGAGACGTAAAGAACGACCAAACAAAATTTCATTTGGATCGGACGAATGTAGCAGAAGTTATGGGGAAATCACAAACACACAGACGTCGACTTTTATATTAATAACGATACACACAAAAAATTAATCGTGGGTCTGACGTGTATTATTTCAAGAAATATTTTGCACCAAAGGGTGTCCTTAAATTCTGTGTCGAAATACAAGCGAGGCAGTGAAACGTCTGGCAGAAATTGCATTCCGTAATGAAGCTGAGCAACCCTCCGCGATTCCCAGCGTTTGGTGTCATTAACAATTGATGCCAGTCGCCGTCAAGAACGGTCAACGCTGCGGGCCACAGGTGAGCCAGAACTTGCTAGTGACTTACCGATCACGGCTTGATTTATATTCAATAACCAGTTGGGGTTAGTTACTCTCTGCGCCAGTGTGCAATCACGTTCTGCCGTGTAAACATGTCTTGATACACGGCTGCACGCGTGCCCGTGCATTTAAGGACCAACACGCACACAGACGTGCCTGGGCAAACTCGATGATTGGCTACCTCGCGCAAGGGTAGTTTCCAGTTTACGTGGCTCTGCGGTCAAGTTGCTTTCGAAATAAGGACGTGCCCTCCCGTGCATATTTTCGAGATGATTGCCAGTACCGTGGGCAAACACACATATACAGTCCTGTTTGCTGTTTTTCGAGGTTGGGTTCAAAATTGAAAACGTTCCACCCATTTTAACGAAAAGTATAAGAGGATGTTTGAAATTTGATACGAATATACGAGTACGTCTCAGAAGGATACACACAAATTTTTACGCAATTATCTCGTACAGAGTATTGTCTCGCTTGTTGCAACAATCTGTGTTATGGATTCTTGCAACGAAATCATCACTTACCATTGTTTGTGCTTCTTTAGCAATTATGTACTTGAAACTCGAGTTTAGTGGCCTGTTTTCAGCTAAAGAGACATGAACAATGGTGGGGGATGATTTCTTTGCAAGAATCCGTAACAGAGATCCATGCAACAAGCGAGGTACTATAATCTGCTATTGAATAATATTTTGGGACTAAACCGATTGAACTTTGACACACGTACAGGTTTTGCAACGCAAGCAATTGAGGTTAGAAGTAAACCAAAATGGCGTCGTGAGTTCTAAGAATATACGGACAGTAAGATAGAAGTTTTCCACTCGTAAAGAAAATATTTGTCGGATAAAGTGCGTTGTCTGTGTACAAACTATATCGTAGTGTCACGAACATTAGAAGAAACAGGCACGCAGAAGTTTCGTGAGGGAATATAGAGCGTTCCCGAGCTGCGAGCCGACGCTTCGATGAATAACTATTCCAAAGCACCGAACAGTCGAAAGGAACTTTCAGCGAACTCTGCACAAAGAAACACGAAACGACGCGATGCCTGGAAGTTTAATTCGATCGAATTCGGCGTTCGATTGAATTTCAAATTACCCGGAAAGTCCTGCGAGGTCGCGGGGACTTGACGAAATTCAATTAACCGTTTCCACGTGGAGGCGACGAGTTTTTTTTTTTTTGTATTTTTTTTATTTTCATTCCGCGGAATTTCACGCGCTCGTTATAAAACATGAAAGAAGGCTCGGGGCACGCGTTGTTGTCCAAATTGGCACGGCTGAATGGTCGCGTCGCGAACAAAGAAGCAAACGAACAAATTTACACCGGCGCGGCGCGGAGTTTAATTAATCGCGAGGCAACAATTGCCTGACGCAACTCGTTCCGTTGTGTTCTTCGTTGCTAGCGTTTCGCTCCAAAAAAAAAAAACCAACGGAGTTGTGTGCGTCTGACGTGCGTGCTTCGGAAGCCCTTCGCCTAATCGTCGCTCATTGTCGCCGTTCGGCTTGTGACAATCAAGAAGTTCATGTAGAGGGTGTCCAATTTGAATCGATCGAACTCATTCACGACGCTAAATTTTTAGACGGTTTCACGAGGGTGGTAATTTAATGCATATTTAGAACAAGTTTAACTATAATTTTGTCTAGACTGCGGATCTTCATGCAAATTCACATTTTTATTAATAGAAGCTTCGCAGAGGGCTGTCTCAACTCCTAAATATAATAATTCGTATCTTACTTTAAGTATTTCTTATATTTTTGCATATTAAACGCATTCTGTAGTTTCTTGAGGATTAAAATTTCCCATAAATGCATAAACATCCGCAGTCTAATTATGACTGTAGATGGTCAGCCAATTTTGAGAGGAGTGTCACCGAAAATTTTTAAATAAATTATCATTTTAAGACTACTTGTTTGTGATGACTCTAAAACGAATTCTAACCTAAATATTTTATCTTGAGACGATCATAACGTAGTAGGGGTCAGTGGCTATCGCCCAGACAGCAGTTTTCCTTGTTTCTGGCAAATGGTCGCGTCCACGGTTGGAAGACGGATCTTTCTCGTGGAACGGTTGGCAACCGCGATTCTCTCGGTGTAAATCACGCAAAGTGAATTAACGTTTCCACGGGTTGCATGAGAGACTGGCACGACAGGAAAAAAGACTGAAATCTTGGGCAGTCCATTTCCAGAAACACTCTGCGTAAATAGCGCGGCCCCGGCGATCGTATATCACCCCCCGCGATAAGGGGAAGTCCACACGGTACGCATTATTTCGCCGCGTTGCAACGCCAGAGGGCGAGAAGAATAGGGTGCCGCTCCATTAACATATTCATAGTTAATATTCCAGCAGCGACGTACAGGCGACAACGCACGCCCCCTTGGATTTATATTGGCCGAATATACACGATTACTCCCTATCCTCGCCGCGATCGACCGGAAGTCGCAATTGATTGCAACTTCCACGAGCAGTTTCCTCTCGATTCGTCCCAGCATCCTCCTCGATGCACTTGAGCAATATCTTCGGTGACGAAAACGTTTCGAGACATCGCGGACTACCAAAGTTCATCGAAGAATAGAAAAAGCTATTCGAAAGTATGCAAACCACGAAAATGAATATGGATCACTAATTGACTTAGATGCACTTTTTTAAAGAAGATACAGTTGGATTGTTACTCTGAGTTTTATCAAAGATTTTCAATAGGCCACCTGGTGGCGAATATGTGAAGCAGCGATTGGACCAAATGTCCGACATATTGAATTTATATATTGAGATATTTTTTTAAATAATTCGAGCTCAATACATTATCGACAGGCGTTATAATAGCGTATATTTTTGCTTGTGAGTGTTACTTATCAGAAGCTATTGACTGCTCCTTAATAATTCAATTTAGTTTCTTAATGTTTCATTTAGTAATAATGGTTTCTTCCAATGCATTATTCATTCCAATAATGAACCATCAGTGATCCATATATTTCTGATATGTTAATATAATTGCGTCGTCCTGGACTTCCCCGAGTCTTCGTCCAGCCATCTAATTTATCAGTCAAGACAGAACTTAAAAGGGAGATTTCAATGCCATCGAGAGGGCCTCCATTGTATTAATATTCGTCGAACGGAACTGCTATTTATCGGATCAAAAATCCTTTCATTCCCAGTTATTCCTCGTCATTAAATACTTTGTCTTTTTATCTCAAAATTCACAATAATTCAAAACACTGCCCAGCTAAAGAAATTGAAATTTTTAATCGAAAATACAAGTGTATCTAGTAAAACTATCAACAGGTCGAGGCGATACTGTACCAGAACGAGGATTGAAATTGATCTGGACTAAAAATGGATAATAGATTTTAAAACTAGTTAACTGAGGAGATACCCAGTCAAAGAAGAGATACTAGGAGGATCATGTTCGAGGATCCTCTTTCAATATCCCTGCGTCATTGGCTTAATCAAAATTCCTTTGTCAATCAACTGATACTTTCACTGGCTACCCCTGATAAAACTCAGCTCCTTTAATGATCCCCGTTTTAAAGTTACATTGTTAGCAGCAAGCCTGGATGAAATTACTACGGCTATCGATCTGCATGTGGGAGGTAAAAGAAGCCTCGAGGGCATCTGATGCAGGATCGTCGTTCCAGAAAAATCAATCAAGGACACTGGCAACGTCCGTGTCCGTTGGTTGCAATTTATTCGATCCCCGTGTTGTCTTGTACTTTCGCGGCGAACAATGCCACGATCGAATTTAAATGAATCCCGTTCGAACAGTTGGCCGGTCTTGTTTCGAACATTTTTCGATCGCGGAATACGAGGAACCTGGGATAAAACATTCCGATTTATTAAACTTAATAAAAAATACCACGCGATTAATTTTTGGTTGATGAAACGAAGAACCGTGTCGAGGGATTTATCGCGCAGATATTTTTGAACGACACTGTACTCAAATAATGTATGCCTGTAATACGAGTCGTAACAAATTCCGAACATCGCGGGACAAGATTTTCCCAAGGAAGCGGCTCGGCCGTTTTAAAAATGTAGGTACAAGCATAATAATCGTTGAATTTTCATATACCGTCCACTTCTACGCCTGTAATCATGCTAAACGGGGCATGTAAACCGACAGGTGATAAAAAATTTAACCCACGTTCTCAACGTCCTTTGGTCAATTTCCCGCGACAACATGTCGCTCATACATTTCAATGAGACTTCCCTAACGGGTGTTCGAGAAGCAACGATGTCAAAATAAGTCTGTTAAACATGGCCTAAGAACTAACATTACCAAAATAATATCGATATTCGCAAAATTGGAATGTTCAAAAGTATTTTTGTGTACACTGTGCCAGTTTATAAGTATATGAGTTCTTTGAATTTCAAAAATTTTTTTTTTTGTTGGCAGAACCGACATGGAAGCAGCGTCTGGGGCTAAAAGTGGTACGTTGAAGTTTATACGCACTTTGACGAACATCTCGAAGGATGCTGGCGGTGTCGCCCACATGCGATGCGAGGTCGTCGGGGATCCCCCACCGACCAAGATCAAATGGTACAAAAATGAGGCACCACTGGAGGAGAGGCGACCAAAGATCACTATTAAAAAGATACATGCTCAGGTAATACCCCCAACACAGTTGACGAAGTTACTTTTGTTCTGTGGCGTCGCCTCCCGTGCTCGCCACCAGAGGGCTCGTTCTCTCACAAGCACTCGAACGACTCCTCGGTTACTACATATGTACATTCCTCAAACGACTTCCCAATATCCCAGCTTTACTAATGAGTCCACTAGCAGACCTGGACAAAACGCGCCTCTTTATTTCTTTTTCTGTCCTACGAACATTTTGCATTCGTGATCTGTGTGTTTGTGATTTGCCTATAACTTCTACTGATTCCAAATCAAATGAAATTTTGTATAGTTGTTCTCCATGGTCTGACGGAAAGTATGAGGTCGTAATGCAAACCCTAATCGTGTATATTGATTGCAAAATGTTTTTATTTCTCAGGCACACGAACACGCCGCGAAGAACATAGCCGGAAGCCGGCTGAAGATCATCAATCTGGACGTTTCGGACGTAGGATTTTACACGTGTCGCGTGGCAAATGGAAAGGATCAGATACAAAGCGAGGGAACGCTTCGCGTCGACTCGTCTAAGAGCAGACACGGTGAGTAGAGATAGTGTCTATTGACGTTAACTTTAATCAAAGAGCGTCAAGTTCTTTGTGACAGTCGCGCGACGCAAACGTCTAAGACGTAGGAAATGAAAGGGACTGCAAAATCATCGGACACTTTGATATACTTACTACTAGAAAGAGAATAGTAAAGTAACCAATTTTTGTATTCATCGTTGTAGGATCAGGTTTTACCATGAATCTTTTAGTTTGTTAATATTTAACATTGTTAACGTTGCCTAAGAAATTGTGTTTGAATTAAGACGGCGTGGAAATGCGTCTCGATTTTCCACGATGACGAAGGAAAAGCTTTTCCTGATCTCCAACGAAGACGAACGAAATATAGGAAGCTTTAGCGGGGGATCGTAAAACTGTCAATTCGACTCATCGAAATTCCCCTTTGACGTCTGCTCGGCAAGTTCGCGAGGGGAAATTGATTCCCCCGGGTGGCGTGATTCTCTTTAAAACAAAAATTGTACCAAAATTTCCGCCTGGGCAATCTCTCAGTGCTAACGACTCGAACGGAGCTTCAAAATTTATTTTTAAACGAAGAATTAAGTAATATTATCCGTGCTCTTGTTCATGGTTTACAGAATAAAAAGAATTGTGTAACAAACACGTGAATTCTACAGTTTGATAGCAATGGCTGACAACTGACCTTCTGCGCACGTACCTTGCGCACATGGCGACGCTGATGGCGCTATATCAATTATCAATTCAATTATCGTGGATATACGAACGTATATTCAACAAAATACTTCTTGTTTCACGTTCAAAAATATTCTTCAGTAATAATATAGACTACAGGGTGTCTCTCTGTTAAAACAGTGGAAGATAGAACAAATTTTAAGTGAATATCTCACATCCTGCGCAGACGTTATCAGGAGGAACACACCAGCGATAAGAATGAAATTATAACTCCCGTCTAAATCCCGAAGTAAAAAACCTCTTCCAAGGAGAAGAGATCACCGTCAAAAAAGGTGAACGAACCTTCAGACGCGTATTATGGGCCGCGCTAAGGCTAATTCACCCTCATCCCCTGGTAGGCCACGTCGTCCCTCATAAGTCGGTATTCAGCCCCGGAAAGTTTTCCCCGTGTCTCGGAGCGGAATTTCGTGCGCGAAACTTTCCCAAAAAGCTCTTGTGCCCGGGAGCGATGAAACAAAACTGACAGCGTTCCTCTGACGAAGTTACCGAGCGACACCCCTAACAAATTCTAATCTAATCGGGGGCCAATGCGCGAAGAAAACGTGTCCCCGCCCTGTGGACCGCTGGCCAGCTCTTTCAGACCCTCCGCGACGCGAAAGTTTGATATTACCACTCTGCAAGTCAAACTCGTTCGAGGATTTCGAACTTCTTTCGACCACCTTCCAACGTTCGTGCCTTTTTCCGGAAGAATGCAGCTGTGTTTGGGCCTCCAACGCGCTCGCTATGTTGAAATTATAAATACAATCATACCCTAAACCTCCCTGGTCGCGTTAATTGAAGGATACCTCATTTTTCGGCTTACGTCAGCTACTCTGTGACCAATTGATTCAATAGCTCTGTATTTCTCTGAGTATAAATCGCCACGACGCAACTGCTCGACTAATGAATGCTTCGTAAAGAAATACGAAGGGAAGAAAACGGTGTCGACGGGGGTGGGAAACCATAGGGTGGTTCTCTCGGTCGCAAACTTAATCGGCCGGCTCTCACGGGGCGCGATCAACGTCACTCCGCTCTTCCACGGGTGTTTAATTCGTGGGGTGAGAAGTCGAGTTAATTAACACGGTGCTCAATTATTCAGGGCAGGCCTAATAAGCCGTGTCGAAACTGTTTGCCGCTGGTACACGATCGGAACGAGTTTGCGTTGCGCGCGAGCGTCGCCTGGCTTTTATGGCGAGGTGTTGCTTCCGGGGACAGCCGCAACGGGAGAGGGGGAGGGATCGAAAACATCAATTTTTGATACTCAAATTGAAACAGTTGAGAAAGGAAATATAAATATGTATTCCACTTTAACTTCATTTTAAAATTTTCCCCACTACTTTTATACAACTTTTCCCTGACTCGAAAGTATCACCCTGTAGATCCACTCCACTCTACTGGCCCGTAGGAACGAAACGATTCGTGAAGTAACACCCGGTGTGTCGCGGAAAAAGGCAGAGTTGAAGAAATATTTGACACTTGGGACGCGCCTAGGGATTTCGCGTGGTTTAGGGAAACGGAGGGTCAGGGAATTTCGCTGTCCATATTACTTAGGCGATCACCAATCGTCATTCGTTGCTTTTAGCCTAATAGGAAACTTTGAGCAGTTGGAATACGCGACGGGGAAGCGTGTTATTCAGTGACAACTGAAATTTAACTTATCCTTCGAAGGGTGGAGATGTTAGAAGTTAACCTTCTATTGCAATATGGTTGACACTTTGGTAGTTTAAAAAAGGAAACAATAAAATTGTATAAAATTTGTCCATTCGAATGATGAGTTAAACTACTTTTCAAAATGAAAGAATTCCTGTTTCTTGCCCCCCCCATAAAGGTTTTTACGACTGCAGGGATCTTCCTATTGCCATTGTCTTCGTGAAATTTTTTTCCCACGAACAACGACGATGGAACACGTTGGCGATGGAAAATTGGGGAAGGTAAATGGCTGCACTAAAAGGACGTCTGGCCTCGCACCTTCCTAATTCACTTATCCGTGTTGCCCCCGGGTTTTTAACGAAGAGACTTAGTTACCCTAAAACCCTGTCAACCGGGCCGCTCGTAGATTTTTCACGTGTTTACTTAACCCGTCGAACGAGATATTCCAAAAAAAAAGTTCTCGGTTATGTGTGCCTAGAAAAAATAAAAATTTGTAAACAGAAGCCATCGATCAATGTTACGGTAACGGCGAAATGGAATGGAAAACTGACGAAATGAAAATAGAGTAATCAACCGATCCTGTTGGGTCACTTGAAAATTGAAATATATTTTTTTATAACAACGCAGTGTTTGTAGGATCGAGTACAACGTGTCTGACCATTACTAGGTAATTCTACTTACGGCGTAGAACTAACTCGTAGGGTCAAACAAGTAGAAATAACTCGTCATGTCAGGCCAAGTAGAAATATCTCATAATAGTCAGACGAGTTAGCGAAATCATAATTCCAGGCGCGCTGCACACATTTTCAAAACGAAGCCTCGTAGATAAAATTATATTCTACATTTTTGATGCATTTCTTTCATGAGAAATTATCTGCTTTAAAAATTTTGACCAAACAACAAAAATCTCCGATTTTCAAACTACAAATCATTGTAGCACTTGATTTAAATTAATTTTCCATCGATGTTGCATCGAATAATTTCGTTTCACTTTGATTATAAATAATTTCGAACGAGTATTCGTGTTTTGCGCGTAATAAAGAAACCTCGCTAAATGTTCGCGTCAGATTATTCGCGATCGTTGATGAATATTCAAGACATCGTTCATAATTTTTCGTACAATTCCAACCCCCTCCGCGGATGATTATTTACAATCGACGGTGATTTGCGGGAAGTGGTAAACGTTCGTTGAAACAACCCACGGTGAAAAACGAACCAGGGGAAAAAAAAGCAGAGAACGAGCCTTCAAGCGACCGATAATTAAAATGATATTCGCAAATTTGATACGTCGCGTTTCCGGCTGATTCGATTAATTCAGAATTATATTCATCCCCCGCCGGTATCGATTCCTCGCGAGTCCTCTCGCTCGACTGCCCCTTATTTTACTCCGTCATAACCGAATTTTAATTAATCCCGGAATTATTAATCTGGCAACCCAGGCGGCAACTTTGATCCGCCTATTTTGCAGGAGAATAATTGAAAAAGTTTCGCGGGGACTGTTTAAGCATACCATGGACAATTTGTGGCCGACCCTTCTGGGCATTGGACGGCTTTGATGCGAATGTGACCACCATAAAATCCTCTAATTTGAATATCATTCGCTGGCAAAAGTACAAAATTTTCTGTCTCATCGTGCCATAAAAAAAAAAACGCAACACGTTAATTAAATTAGTTGCTATTGTACAAATGGAAATGAACTGAAATGGGTATTATTAAGTCTTGTTGCTAATTACAGTATGTCGACTAAAATTGAAATAAAATTTTACTTTTTCGAATATCTGGTGGAATGTTCATTTTCTTAGAATAAAACAATAACATTTTTGTGGAATTCATGTAAATTCAGTGAAATTACTTTTTTCGAGATACATTTATTTATTTACTGATCACTAAATAATCTTGCACATTCTCTGTGTATTTATACGTATAAATAGGTATGTTTATGATTTCGATTTTCCGCTGAATTTTCGATATTTTCGGGATCGTTTGATAAAACCAAAGTCAATAAATGTATTTTTCAGAGCTGTTTGTTCGTCTGTCTAAATATTAGTCTCGCCAAATCTCGAAAACAGCTCGATATATTTCGAAAAAATTATGTGCGCTCGTAAAAATCATTTTAAACAGCAGGAGACCACCTGGCTTTGCTTTCCATAAAAAGTAAATAGGAAAAAAGTTTTCCTCCTGACTATTAGCGCCGCCAGGAGAGAAATGATGAAACACAACTGTCATGGCTGCGTTGATAGAGTCCCCTGATGGAGCTAATAGTAGGGGGGCACTATTCTTTGGTTCATTCAATACAATACACCATAAAAGGTCGAGAAATAATATTCAGGATAGTATAGGAGTAAAATCATCGCTATAAAACAGATTTATTTACCCTCCGTACGTCAACATTTCGCGAGTTATTTTCCCGCGGGTTCATTAAATGTTAATCGCGACTCGTCGCGATACGCGATAAATAACCGACTCGCTGTTAGGCGGATCTCATTCACTCTCGAGCGGGGTGCGATAAATCATCCCCTAAAATCCCGAACAAGAGGCCGCCGCAACGGAATTTCCCGCAAGCTTCCAGTCGCGCGACACGGCAATAAGACTTTCAATAGCGCGCGAAAAACCGATAGCAGAATAATCGAAAAAGTTCGCCTGTCATCGCGCGAACG